TGTGTGTGTGTGTGTGTGTCCAGTATGCATATACTGTACCTAGATTGTCTTCTGTGTTGTGGCATTCACACAAACCAGTCCTGATTGGCCATTCTGCCTGTTGTCCCTTTCCTTTCGCCTGCCTCTTTCTGGGGTCCAATAGCAGTCTCAGACCGCCAGAGTCCAGCCTGCCAGTGGTCTCCCCATGGCTCCCAGCTCCTTGCCCGGTCCCATCCCCCCTCAGCAGGTGAGCCATGCTTTCTGGTAGCGCATTTCTACGCAGGTGTGATCTTGCCCTGGTCAAAGACTGCGCAGGGGATGATAATACATGATTGCTTTGAGGGGGGGGGGTGTTTGTTGGGTGGCAGAGATGATTCTTTTTTATATCCTCCCCTTTCTGTTATCTCTGCTGTGGTCAGTACTGCTGAAATTCCACCCCCCCCCCAAGCCCAACTCCCCTCCTGCGTATGAAAGCTGTGGAGTCGAGCAAGGCCTCTCACTCACACTGTGTTGTGTTTGTTTCTTGTAGTACGGAGGTTACTACGTCCCGTCCATCCCTCCGCAGGTAGAGAACATTCCTTCCAAAAGGCACCTTTACTCTTGCTTTGACTCAAGGCCTTGCCACTCGCTCCTACACTTTACCCCGTTTGTTTCTCGAGCACGCGGCAGGCTTATCTGTCTGTAAGTGTGCTCTGGAGAATGCAGGGATGAGCCTCGTGGGCATTTCGGTTAATGTTGTTGGCCCAGAAGGTAAGTTGCTTGCAGCTGTTGAGTAAATGTTCAGCTGTACTTTTTGCTCGTTGCTTCTCTGTCTTTAACATGAGAGAGAATGAAAGCCACTTCTATAGGCCAGTGTATGGAGGAGGAAAAAAGTTCAACCCAGTTTATTTGGGTGTTAATTACAAATGTTGTTTAGAACTGTGCTGAGGTTTGAAGTCACAGTGTATTGAGTGAGTCTCATGGTGAGTCTCTGCGGATGGAAAAGGTGACCAAGTCTGGCTTTTGTCTGTCCCACCCTGCCCCCCTCCCCCAAGGTTCCTCCACAGCAAACTCCTGTGCCCCCTCTGTCCTCCCAGCCTGCAGCTCCTGTTCCCCTGCAGCAGCAGCCTGTCCCCACCGCGGTGCAGAGCTCCTCGCAGAGCCAGATGCTGCCCAGTGCTCTGCCCACACAGGTGAGTGCTGGCCACCTGCTGGAGAGCCATTCGTATGGCTTCTGCAGTGCCCCAGGTCAGGCGTGCATCTCTCAGGGTGACTAATCACAGGGTAACTTTTTGAGCAATGTTGCCGGGGAGTGTCGTTGACCGTTGTTGCTTTCACACTTTCCCGTTGATATGAGGCAATAGATTTCTATTTTTGAAGACCTTTTGATTGGCATTTTGCAATCATCTAGATCCAGATGACTTGCCCTTTGTCTCATCTGGTTGGCAGTTGCCCGGCAACAAGTTTCCCTGTGTATCATCACCTTTAGTGTGACCTGTGCAATGTGGTAACTGTTGCAGGACATACAAACACCTGACAACAGACCTCGGAATCTGTAGAACGCACAATAAGTTTAACAGGAGGAACCCGTCCTTGAGACCTCGAAACCAGGCTGTTTTACTATGGGTCAGATGCCCAGCTGAGTAGGCTGCTGCGCCGATGCACAGCTGCAATGAAATACTCGCTTTTACTTCCTTCTCTGTCTGTTTGGCACCACTGTCAGCTGGGTGCTGCTAGTGAGCTGAGCCTGTCCGTTCTCTCCTCATCCCTCAGCCTGCAGCACCTGTACAGCCTCTATTGGGCTGTCCAGCTTTCTCTGGTGCTGGGGATAAATCCTGTTGCTTATAAACCTCATTTTTATAAAAAATCTTTGCAATCAAAAACTAAAAATACAAGTTTTGTATTTTGTTTGGTTACTTATAGTTAAGGTTAGGGCTGGGTAGGGGTTAAGGGTGTGATTGTTGGAATTAGCGTTTTGCCCATAAAAATGAACGGAGATATGAATAAAAAATTTTGCGCTAATTTTGTGAATGGAAGTGAATCTGTTTCCCTAGACGTGTCAGCGTTACCCGTTTGCTGGTTATTTTTCAGTGTGCCGTGCCTGTTGTTTGCATCGCTTGGTGTCTGTGTTTTATTGGGAGTGCAGCATTACAAGGCGTCTCCTAGGCACTATGTTTCGCTTGAATCGTCCTTCAGAAAGCAGTGGCTTCTGCAGCACTGAGCAGCTGGCCAGCTCGTCTTTGAACCCCAGCTATGATACCTACTAATGTCTCTGATCTTCCACATTATCTCCCATATGCATCAGTGATGTTCTCCCTGCTCCGCCTGCCCTTCGAGGGGGTGGTGTGCCCCTCGGCCCAGCTTCCCGTCCCCTCCTCAATAAGACGTCTCTCTGTCACACAGGTGGGCTTCCCTCCGCCATCAATCCCGCCGACAGTGGTGCCCAGCCAGCCTCAGCAGCCGGCCACTGTGGCTCCGCCCACCGTCCCACATGTCTCCCTGACCCAACCTCAGCAGCCGCCATTGGCCGTGGTCAGCACAGGCCCCGCCTCCACTGAGCCGCCTTTTCTGACAGGAGACGCCCCTCTCCAGGTACCTCCCCTGAGGCCCTCCATCCTTCTAATCAAAATGTCACTTGTTAGCATTTATTGCACTATGGCTAATTTCCTTACTCTGACAGTCTTTCCATGAATGTGTTATTGATCCCTTGGTGCCTGTTTGCAGTGGGAGTTCACTTTCTGTTGTTTATTCAGTGTCCTCACATCCTGTTGCAGCCACCCCAAACTACGCAACCTTTGCCATCTGAACAAGCACAAGCACAGGTGCCCCAGGTCCTGTCGTCCATGGAGAGGTGAGCGGCTGGGTGCTTCACCTTCTGCTTTGTGGGCAGTGGTGGTCTAATGGATAGGGAAGCGCCCTTGTTAATTGAAAGATCGCAGGTTCGAATCACCAACCAGCAAGACACCACTGAGGTACCCTGAGCAAAGTACCACCCCCCAAGCACTGCTCCCCAGGCGCTGAATTAACTGTCCTCTGCTATGTCACGATGTCACATATGGGTTAAATGCAGAGAACAAATTTCGTTGTTGTGTGCTGTGTCAACAATGACCACTGAACCCTTAAGTAAAATTAAATTAAAAACTAATTGCTCGCAGGGATGGGTGCGGGAGGCTCTGCACAGCACATGCTGTCCTTTTCGGGTACTGCACACATGCACAAAGGATTCTGGGAAATTCAATGATGTGTTGATGTAAACTTTTTTTAAAACTGAATACTGTTTCTCTTTTAAATTTTGAATACGATTTTCTTTTGAATGCTGATTAATGTTCCCCCTCTTCCCGCACCCAGTGGGCTTTCCGACGTGGCCTCTGGTATGAGTGACAGTAACGAGGGTGTTTCCACCACCGGGGGTAGGCATGAGGGCCGCTCCGCCAAGCGCCATCAGCGCCGCTCGGTGCGCAGCCGCTCGCGCCACGACAAGATGGCCAAAGCTAAGCTGGTGGTGCTGAATGTGAGTGTCCCCGCCCCCCCCCCGGGGCCGAGCTTCTGCGCAAACCTGCCACTCAGGCATACAGTGCTAGATCGTTACACTTTTCCCAGAGTCTGCTTGGGCTGCCCTGATATCTTGTTTAACTTCTGATGTATTTTTTTATTATTTAACATTTCATTGCCAGCCCTGTATAGCGCTTCCAAACAGCTGCACAATGTCACACATAGAAAAGACTCCCGACCGTTTATTTCCTGGCAAGTTATGTGCCGACTCCTGGTCTCATCTACCAGATTTCCAACATCGGCGACCGGGTCGCCGAATGCCAGTTGGAGACGCACAACCGGAAAATGGTGACTTTCAAGTTCGATCTGGATGGCGACAACCCAGAAGAAATCGCGCAGATCATGGTAACGTCTGAAACTGCCTCGTCCCCTCATTTGGTTTTCCCTTGAGCCTGAATGGCAAAATAAAGAGGACCTTCCTAAGCACGAATAAGATGTGTGTTGGGTTTGGGGGCCAGCCCTCTGAAGCTCGGAGGGGCAGCCGATTGGCTGTTGGTCTGCGGATAGGCACGTCATTCCGTTTCTGCGGCAACAGGTCACGAGCGAGTTCATCCTGGAGTGTGAGCGGGAGTCGTTCATCGAGCAGGTGCGTGAGGTAATCGAGACGGCGGACGAGAGGGGGCTGGAGCGAGAGGGGATGAAAGATGGCAGCGGACAGGTAGGGGCGGGGCACCACCGGCTGCACCTCCACACTCCACGTGCTGCCGTCCTATGGCTCACCCCTCCCCCATCGCTCCGCAGGTGGCGAGTGACCTGGTCCAGCAAACGGCCCCCAGTTCCGGCCCACTCCTCCCAGGTGACAATAAGCTCGTTTCCCCATGGTCTGGTGTCATTGCGCCAGCTCTGCGCGCTCCGTCCTAAACCACGCCTCCCCCTTCACCCCCAGGCGACCCCTCCAGCGCTATTGCCCAGGTGGTGCATTCTGCGGGTCGCAGGTTCATCGTCAGCCCAGTGCCAGAGTCCCGGCTCAGGGAGCAGTTCTTCACGGCCACCTCTGCTCCGCCCCCCAGCGAGCCTGCTGCTAGAGGTCAGTGCCAGGCATCCCGTCGGCCTGCTTTTTCATTTTTTTAATCAATTTAAATTATTTTTTTAATTTGATAGGATATGGCAAATTATAGCTTGAGTTCTACTTAGCTGAATCACAGCTATTTAGAATAATTTTCAGCTGGCTGTCTTTTATGATGAATAGCTTTAAAGCGGAAGCTCAGCTGCTGTCCTGACATGCTATGCCCGTGCTGAAGCTCCTGTCGCTCCCTCTCCTCTCCTCAGCCCCCCCTGTGCCGGGCCTGTCCCACTCAGCCTCCACGGTGAGCCTTCAGCAGGCCTTCTCTGAGATGCGCCAGAGCCAGTTTGACCCGGGACCCAGCACAGCCCCGGCCGCCATGCACATCACCATGCCAGCGCTGGTGCCCAGCATGCCCATTGGGGCTGTGAGTGCGCCCACAGGGCCGCTGCTTTTGGATGCTGCAGTGGCTGTGAGTGCTGCCCCGGTCTTGCCTGCTGGCATGGCACCGCAGGTTCAGGTTTCAGAGTCTGGTCCCGTCCCCGTGCCATCAGTGTCCCTGACCCCGCCTGCTTCCTCCTCGCCCCCTCCCACCATCCACCAGACCCCCACGGTGCTGTCTCAGCCCGTGATCCCCTCCACGGTGCCCGCCTCCCAGCCAGCTGTGGTTATGACTCCAGTCCCTACAGTTTCTTCGACATCGCCTCCTGCGATGCCCCAGCCTGTCCCCGCCTCTATCGTGCCCCCCTCCACCTCCTCCCCGCCGAGCTCGCTCTCCGGGCCCGTACCGGTCAGCTGCTCGGTGCCCGTTGCCCTGCCGCCTTCCGCTCCCTTGCCTGTGGTTGGGGGAGAGGGCACAGTCAGCATGGAGCAGCCCCTCGTTCCACAGCCCGGTTCAATGGCTCTGCCCCCCGCCGTATCCTCTACGGGGGTCCCCACCGTGCAGCCCACGCTGGTTCATGCCCAGCCCCAGACGGCCATCGTGCCAAACCAGGGTCACACCCACTGTGGCGAGTGTGAGGCTGATCTCCAGGGCAAGATGCCCGGCATTGAAGATATCCAGGCCCTGGACAAGAAGTTGCGTTCCCTGTTCAGTGACCTCGGCTCCGGCCTGGCCACAGCAGCCACCGACCCAACCATGGAGATGTCCACTCTGTGCACCACGTCCCCAACCGGTACCAGCTCCACCCCCACTGCCACTGGGGCCCCTATGCCCCCCACCAGTCTGCCCCTGGGGTCTGCTGTACCGGCATCCTCCACCCCCATGGCGACCCCAGGGCAGGCGGCCACCCCAGCCAAGGCCCCTCTGGCCAGAGTACCGGTGAGTCATGTTGAAACGCACGGTGATTACCAGCAAATGTCTGAACCGTGAGCAGAGTGTTAAAGTAAAACATTGATTATTATTGTAATAAAGGAAAAAATGAATCATTAGTTTCTGAATGCTGGTCATTGTTAGACCTCTTCCATGGCTCAGCCAGAAACAGTCTTTTTATGGACCAGTGAAGATCAGGCCTTTGCCATCAACAGTTTTCGTTAATTTATCTCTTCTAGTTTGCCACCCTAACACCTCTGGTTAACCTCTTCCTGGCTGAGCCCATGCCTGGTTTCCTAACTTCCTGACATTAATGTGCACTACAGTGTGTGTTGCATGCCAGGGGTCTCGTCGCTGTCTAATACAAACCCGTAATACATGTAATATATGCGCACCATCATGTGTTGATGGTATTCTCCAGGGCTAAGCCCCGGGTGGAAGCTCCGGTTCCTCTGCGTGACGTCAGGCTGCAGGGTATCGTGTGTGTGAGGTCTTCCTCTTCTCCCCTCTCCTTTTATTTAAGCTCCTTTGTTTCATCTTCCTCTTTGTCAGGTGTTGCCTGTCGGCTCAGAGCAGACTGGCACCCCATCCACAGAGCATCTACCACCCTTCCCAGGACCCTGTCTAACTCAGGTGCTTCTCCACTTCCTGAGGGCTACCCCTCATCCCAGCTTCTTCTGGGGGCAAAAAAAAAAAATCACTTTCTCTTTCTCTGGCTGTTTTTTTTGTCCTTTCCAAACAAGCAGTGCATGCTGAAATGTTTGTTGGCCCAGTCTGTGCATGATACAGGCATATTTTCTGGGCCTTATCCTTTGAGATGCATGAACTCTGACTCCATAGTTTCCAGTTAACACTCTGACTGGGTGGCCAGGTGGTACAGGTCTCTCTTGGGAGATAGAAGGGATGAGAGAGCAAACAGGACGTATATCAGCATATGCTTCCCCAGCTACGCTCGCCAACAATGTATTTAAGAAAAAACAGGAAGTAGGCCCATTTTTATATGTAATTCACAGAGGGAAGTCTATAAATCACATGCCTGCAAGGTCAAAAGTTAAGCATGTTAATTCTACATCATTGTTCCTATCTACTGTTATGTTGATTTACATTGGGTAGGACAGCATTGTTTTCAGGGGGTAGGACATTTTCATTGATAAAATAGTATTTTTAATACATATCATGATGTTTTACACTAGAATTTTGAATGTTTAAGGTAATAAAGTGGATTTTTTTATGTAATTTGCTCATCTTACTGACAGTTTTGGGACTAATTTTATGCAGAATGTATCTGGATGATCTCTGCTGCTTTCAGATTCACGACTTATGATGTTTAACAGCAATTCATTTTACTGCTAAAATATTACTTATGTTGCCAAAAGCAGTATGTTTAATTTTATACTCAAAGGGTTGTAGGGGTTTTGAGTTGAAAGTGGAAAATTGAAGTAGGTCAGTTTTTTGTTTTTAGATAATCAAGAATGTCTGCTATTAGAAAGCTTGTTGGCTGCGGATGGGATTGTGATCTTGAGTGGAAGTCTGTTATTGGATGTACCGTCCGTGTTAACTGATGATGTGTTGGTTGGGTCATGGCGCAGTCCCAGCAGCCTCTGGAAGACCTGGACGCACAGCTCAGACGAGCCCTGAGTCCCGAGACAGTCCCGCCGAGCTCAGTAATAGGCCAGGTGAGCCCATAGGATCTTTATCATAGGCCTGGTCCATAGGCCTTATCATAGGCCTGGTCCATAGGCCTTATCATAGGCCTGGTCCATAGGCCTGGTCCATAGGCCTGGTCCATAGGCCTGGTCCATAGGCCTGGTCCATAGGCCTTATCATAGGCTTGGTCCATAGGCCTTATCATAGGCCTGGTTCCACGTCTGTGTTTGGGATAATGTGACCACAAAGCAGATTTCTAACACTGTATCGTTGTTCTTTATCCAAGTCGTCAGTGACAGGAATGCCCTCTGGTGGACAGCCAGGTGAGTCCCACCTTATGCACTCGGTCTGCTGTTCTTTTCCATGTTCATCTTTGCAGTCTTTAGTAATTTGCTCTAACGGAGTAACTTTGGCTTTTTTTTAGTGCCGTACCCCCTGGCGGCGGATGGGGAGCACTCCCCAGCAGCGGTCCCGGCTGGGGGGGTAATTGTGGGACGGTTCCAGGTGAGCCTCCGACTTCATGAGATGCGTTGCTTTGGAGGTCTGGGGTCTCTGGCATCACAGAAAATAAGCATCTGCTTATTTTCTTGGCAGTTTGCTTTACATATTAGCCTTCGGAAGGATGGCGAGAATTGCAGCTTCGATAGATTATATTGCCAAAAGTGTACACCCCTGTTAGAGTAGTGTTTCTCAACGCAGCCCTTGGGGACCCCTTGGTGGTCCACATTTTTGCTCCTGGGGGTCCCCCAGGACCAGGTTAAGACACACCCGGATTAGGATTTAACTAATCAAACCACGCCCATTGCTAACACAGGTGTGTAATTAAGCGCACAGTCATGCAATTTCCGGCAACAAACATTAGCAGTAGAATGGTTGGTTGTTCAGAAGATGTTGTTGACTTGAAGTTAAAGTAATTCTAAGAAAACTTTAAATTTAAATTTGTGGAAACCTGAAATAAAATATGAAAATAAGCTACAATTAAACAAAAAGTACACTTGGTAATCCCTAATTATATATAAATTTAAAAATGAAAACTATTATAACTCATTTAAGGATGAGTATTTGTAACTTCCAGCAATGGCACCGTGAGAGCCCCCTGTTCGTTGAACGGTGGCCTGGCTCATGCTGTTCAACTCAATTCAGTACTCAGGTCCATCTCCCTGCTTGTCCACGCAGGTGTCGTCTGTGGCTGCTGATGAAGTCTCGCTCAGTCCAGCCCACCCTAATTTATCGGACGACTCCTCTTCCACCTCATCCTCCACCACCTCCCGTTCTTCATCCTCGTCCTCCTCGTCAGTGCTTTCCAGCCCCGAGAGCACGCTGCACAAGGCCACTGGCCCTCTGATGGGGCCTGCTGGGGACACGGTGGATGGCCTTCCCTGCCGGGGGGGCCCGTCCAGCGAGGTCGTTCAGCCCGCCATCATTGGCCGCTTCCAGGTCACGACTGAGGCTGGCACGAAAGTAGGCCGCTTCTCTGTGAGCCGGGCCCAGGACGAGCAGAGACAGCCCAACGGGCCAGCACTGAGCCCGGAGACCAAAGGTTCTCCTCCTAGCCTCATGAACAGCCTAAACTCCTATGTCAGCAGTGACAATGACTCTGAATTTGAGGACGAGGACTTCAAGAGGGAGGTCAACCGGCTGCGAGACAAGTATGCTCTTCTTCTTCATGGGTATCGCCTCTTGTGGGGGGTGGAGGGGTCTGATTGTAACTGGCTGAGTTCGGGGTTGAATGTTTCGTTCCATCTGCAGACACATGAAGGAGATCCAAGCCCTACACACGAGGCAGAAAGAGGAGATTGATGCCCTCTTTGCCAGGCTGGGAAAGGTGCCGCCCCCGGCTGTGGTTGTGCCCCCCGCTGTGGCATTAGCTAGCCGCAGGAGGCGACCCACCAAGGGCAAGGGCAATAAGGGCAGCCGGGCCAACTCCCAGGGTAGCCGGAGCCCCTCACAACCAGGTACGGCACCTGAGTGCCTTTGTCTCTGTCTGTGTGCATGTGTGTCTGTCTCTGTCTGTGTGCATGTGTGTCTGTCTCTCTGTCTGTGTGCATGTGTGTCTGTCTCTCTGTCTGTGTGCACGCCTGTCTGTCTCTCTGTCTGTGTGTGCGCTCTGGGACAATTTAGACCCCAATGCTATTGTCTGTTGCCCAAGCTCAGTGTCTGGTTCCCCCCCCCCCTTTCCCAGTAGGCCCCTCGGCTGCGCTGAGTGCCCCTTCGGTGCTCCAGCCCCAGCAGACGCTGCAGCCTCCAGGGGAGCAGCAGGAGATGGGGAGCAGCCCCCTGCTGCAGCCGCTGAAGACCTCGCCCTCCAGCGAGAACCTGTGCTCCACCTGCACCAGCGAGGCTGCTCTGTCTGTGCCCAGCCTCTGCGGCCCCACACAAGGTACGCCCCTTCCCGCCTTGGTCCTTCAGAGAGCGCTCCAGCTGGGTTAGACATCCGACTACATCTGCTGAGCAGTGCATTTCTACCGCCGTTGCCAGTTTCTCAGTAGTTCTGCTTTGCAGTTTCTCCTCTGCCTGCCTTCTGTAGCATCTGGGAACACAGACATGCAGGCGAATGGGTTCTCATTTGGGAACCAGCGTCACCCACTCTCCCGTCTCTTAACCTCATCGGCGGCCAGGCATCAGCTCTCTGAGCCCTTGAACACAATTTTAGCTGATTTTTCTATTTCGTTTTAACATAACTTAAGTTGGTAATGAGTAACCAGTAGTAACTATTAGTTTTCTGGATTTGTTACTGCGTCTGGATCTGTGACTCTGAGGTCTCCAAGGGCCATGTGGTTGTACTGGATTTTACTCCACCTCTGCTCACTCCACATCCCCTTGGTGTAATTTATTTGGTAAGCCAGACATAAGTTAAGTGTTTTAAAAGCTTTGGTGTAGCTGGTCTAGTTGTACTGGAGTCCTCATATTTGCAATCCACTAACTGATATTTTATGTTTGTACAGTTCGCTGTATATCTAACTAGCTATTTTAAATTTCTGGTGTGTTTTGGTTTACATAACATCACAGCACAGGTTAATCAGGCTGCAGTATGTATCTTTTGAAGTTGCCGTCAACAGTATTTGTATTTCTGGTATAGAATATTAGGTTTCAATTCTTTAATCAGAAACGTGTGGATAACTGCTGTTTATTACTAGTTGTTTAAACTCCATGCATATGCCAGTCACTGGGGAAGTGGATCTTCATTGTACCTCTGCGATGCATTCGGGGTGAATAGTTCAGGTTGTCAGTTGGTCAGTTGCTGGGAAGCATCCTCACCCTCCCCAGCTCGCCTCTTCATTTCCTATGGAAACGTGACTGGTCCTCCTTGTCTTGCCAGTACTGAGGTAGTCTAGCCTCAGGGGGGCGATGTTGCACCACCTCCATGCTCAGCAGCTCTGCACCTCACTCTCGTGTCTCCTTCCTCCACCTTTCTGTCTGCTGTTCATGGCTCTCTCAATGTTGTGCCATTCTTACTGTGTATTGGTATACGTCTCTCTCTCCTCCCTTCTCTTTCCCCTGTTCTTGTGCCACAGGCTGCGTTAAGTTCAGCTGTGGGTCGGAGAGAGTGACCTTCAAGCCAGGTGGCAGAAGGACCCGATTTCTGAGTACGCCCTGCTTGGCTCTTTGTGTGTAACGCTTTTCCTTGTATTTTTCCTTCTTTCATTTATTTTAATTCCCCATCTTCTTTTTGTTAACTTTCTGATATTTCTCTTTTTTAAATCTTTTTTTTATGACTTTACTGGTCAAATGTACAGTAACTTAAGTCTTTTTACTCATATGTTTATGCAATGATATGTACTGTTACTGCTGAATTACTTTAGATCTTGCTGTACCAAATCCGACTTGCCGAGGGTGTGGTGGCAGACTTTTGAAATCCATTTTCCTCATGTAGAGTCACAGTAGCACCTATTCAGTCTGAAACCCACAGGTGACATTCATACGCTTTCGGTCCAAACGCAGTGCTAAACGTCTGACTGAAGTGCTGCTTGGGCGTTTGACACGGAACAGTGTCCGTTTTTCCCCGCTGAATTAAGGCGGCCTCTAATTCTTTGTTTGGGGGCGGAAAGTGGATTTTAAAAGCCCGTGATGCGACTGAGCTCAAGGTTTCCGCATAGAGGATAAAACTACTGCATCTGATTTTGAACTCATGTTTAGATCTTCTCCAAAATTAATCTTATTTAGTGGTTATACAGATCAAGAACATAACTGGATAGTGTTATGGCTCCAGTTCAGCTTTCCTTCCTTACTAGGGGGTTAATTTGACCACTATATTTTTCTGGGTATGATTCACTAGAATAGTATGGCCTAACAGCTAAACAGCAACCCCCCTCGAACCCCTGTTGGGTCTAAAACCCCCATTAGGAAGCCACAGCCCAGAAGCATCCTGACCACCTGCCACTCAGTGTCTAACCTCTCTGCCCTCAGCATTTTCACTCTCATCCATCCCATGCTGAACTTGTCACCCTCATCCAACCTCCCTATTAAAGGCATCATCCCTAAAGTTTCCTAACACAGCCGTGATTGTGCAGGTTTCCCCCAGTGCCGCAGTCTCGACAGCAGTATCCCCAGTAGATCGGCGCCTCTGTCAGCCTCGCCGATCTCATCACACCAGCTGAGGCGGCACAATGTTCTTGGTTCTAATTACCTTCCCACTGGTGCCCCCCCCCCCAAATTGCTGCATCCCCATTTTAAACCTTCTGATTCATGTGGGGGCTGAATGGATCAAATAATCTTCCATGTCATGCCTCGTACACTCTGGTACATATAAAAGCAAAGATGACCCCCCCCCCCAGTACACATCAAACAACCTGTCCACCTATGAAGCAGTTTTGTGGCCTCAGCTGGTGTGAAATATTTTCAAGCAAACACTCTTCAGTGAAGCTGTAGCGTATCACAGTGTTTTCTGTGCTGTCACATGACCTCCGGCCCTTCATTCCTGTCCATTCCTGCTTGCATCCAATCCGCTACGCCTCACTCGAACGGTGTAGCTCAGCCATGCTTTTCCATGTTTTCTGGCCCGTGTGTGAGAGCCTGTGCACACTGACCTGCACTCTGTGCACATGCGCAGTGTTCGTTCCAATGATTAACACTGACTTCTTAAAATTCCGACGTTCTCTCCATGCTTCAGGGAAGATGGTGAAAAAAGTGTGCCCCTGCAACCAACTCTGTAGTAATTATCTTTTTTTAATAATAAAAAAAATCCAAGTCCTCACCTTCCTGCTCCTTGTTTGTATTGCTGCCTGCTTCAGTCCATCAGCCTGACCTGAGCATTTCGATCGCTATGACCCCCCCCCCCCTCCCCCCCCCGGCCACAGAAAGAATGCGACCCCTATGGGATGTGTCTCATCACACACTACTCCTGATCCACTGTGTTCTCACCCGGTTTGGCTTGTTACAGAGGATTTTTTTGTGTGATCTGAGTAATAGACAGGAGAGTGATTAGGGGAATTTTGTTTCACCACCAGCCTTATAGGAAGCGTATAAAGCCTGTAATTAGACAAATTAATTCATCCAGTTCAGCTTCTGTATGAATATTCTATCTTTGTTTCTTAGCAGAAGTCTTTGGCTCACTTTATTTATCTGGTGGCATTAACCAGCTTTTGGTGCCTTGCCCTTCCCCTGACTCAGACAAACTGGTTCTGTTTACAGGAGCAGTTTAACCGGCACGCCACCTGCTGGCCGGTGCTGCCGCTTTCTGTCGTGTGTGGTGATTAAGAGATGCACGGTTGCCTGCAGTCTTAATGACAGATTGGCTTCACACGCGGAAGCCCGCTTCTCTTGGATTGGCCAGTGCACTTAAATTATGTAATTTATTATTATTTTTTTTTTAAAGCAGCCGTCCCATTGGACTTGTACCCTTTACTCATGACTGGCTCACAGCAGTGACTCACTCTTAGGCTATGAATTTTTCTCTCCACAACATCTCAGTTTTTATGTCTGAACTATTTTTAGCATTTGGGGTGTGGTAGTACATTATTAAGAGAATGTGCCTCTAGTCACTGGCTTGTATTACACTTCCTGGGAGAAACATTAATCTACAGTATTATTAACTGACTTAACTGAGGGGTTTTGCAGTGCAAAAGTCAACTGAGGTCACTAGTAAATGCTGAAGTCAGGCGGTGTGCAACTGCTTCTCCCAGCATGCCCTGCTACCTGGAGCCTGGACTACATTTCCCAGAGTCTTATGGAGAGCTTTTGTTTCTGCTTTCGTTTCTGTTTTTTGTAAGCTTCCTTTTTTGTTCTGCTTTCTGAATGGTGTATTTTCAGATGCTTATTCCAGTTGTGCCGTTTATGTGGCAGATATCTTCAGTACTTTTCGTTGTTGCTCCCAGCTCAGCTGTTTTGTGTTCTCGTGCAGTTCAGCGCGGTTTTTGCTGGCTTGTTATTTATTGTATTTACGTATTTTAAGTTTGCATTCAGAGTAACACTGAAATACATCAGCCCCTGATAGAGACCAGAAAACTGCTCTGACGTGACCAACGAGTTAAAGAAATTGTTCATTTGGTCTGAAATGCCATATTGCACAAGTTTCTGGTTCAGAAATGGGGAGGCTGATGTATTGATTTTCCAGGTGCTGCCCGTTTCCTTCAAACCCCTCCCAAAATGAAGCTGCATTTCCTTTAACATCTGTGAGCAGTGAAATACCAAAATCTGTTATCTGTTGCTGGTGTGACCATTTTGATTTGCAAATTAACTGTACGTTTCTCTGGAAAACCAGGTTAGAATAACTTCAGATGTTGGCCTGTGCTTTAACTTTAAGTAATCCTTTTGGTGAAATAAAACCTTTCCAGACTAATTTATGACTTCTGGACCATGTGATATGTTCATTATATTTGCATTCATATTTAACCAAATGGAGACCACTGCAGTTTTATACTAAGAGGAATCTGCAGGATGGTTATGAATTAGTTGCACAAGGGCTCCACCTGCTGTGCCTGAGTGGAACTGAAGACTCACCCTACCCTATTTGCTGAACTGTTTAGATAACAGAACTGTGATCGGGTGTTTATCAGCTTATATTTCTTGTGAAGTTCACACCAGTATAAATTACTGTGGTTAATTATGTTGCTGTGTGTTTCTCTGCCTGCAGGGACAAGCAGCACTAACACAGTGAGTGGGCCAGGACAGGGTCAGAACCAGAACCCATTGCCTGCCACCCTGCCCCAGAGTCGCAAGGGCACTTTTACGGATGACCTGCACAAGCTGGTAGATAATTGGGCCATTAGCCTTTCACAGGGCAAGAAGAGCTCCAAGCAGACGTCGCACCCACAGTCGGCCTCTCAGAGCCACTCCTATGATGTGAGGATCTACTCGATATCACCGTCATCTCTGTGCAGTGCCGTCCAGGCCTTCTGTTCAGTTGTTGGTTCCTTTTGTACTGCTGAAGGGTCCTTAAGTCGTGAAATGTAGTGGCAGTGTGGATACAGTGAATGTTCTAGCGGCATAGCACTGTATGGATGTTCTCTGAATCGGCAGTACCAGACACTGACCTTTGACCTCTCTGCCTTTCCATAGGGGATTCCCCCAGTCAATATCGGACGCAAGTTTTCTGCCCCGAGCCAGCTGTGCCCCACCGTGGCCTCCACCTTGAGTGGACATACAGCACTATCCGGGTCCCGTAAGGGTTCCCTGTGCCCCATGCCAACCTACAGCTATCCCACTGCACAGTTTGGCGCACCCCAGTGGACAGGCCCTACCACACACTCGCAGACCCTGAGCCAGCTCCAGCCAGTGGCCCCAGGATCCCTGCAAAGCTTCCCCATCAACACCTTGCAGAATTCGGTCAGCAACTCTGGTGGGCCCAACCTGAGGACAACGTAGTGCCTGAGGGCACACTGGAGCAGGGCAGAGTCAGGCTGGACTGATTGACATTGGAAGGGGGGGCAGAATCGAGCACTGCTGGACTGAGCTGGCATCAGTGGCTTCTGTTTAGTAATTTAATTTTTTTCTTTTCCTTCAGACAAGTGGAAATGGGTATCAGAAAGGAGGTATCAGGTGTGATGGGTGTAAGCAGACCACATTGCTATCTGAGGCTCTTTACTGCTTTTCTTTCTTTCGTTTTTTTCCCTTTATGCAGGAGTATGCCAGACGCGTGTACGTCATCTTTCCAGAAACTTCTGTCCCTGATTGGTGCAGCAGGAAGTGTGGTAGCACAAAAAAAACAAGCTCACAGACACAAGGGTGCAATTTTTAGGGGCCAAAGACTGTGCAACAAAGACTGTTGAAAAGCCCCATTAGCAGGGAAGGGTGGGGAGGAGTTTGGAATGTTTATTTTCTCCCGAATGGCTGGAACAGGCATGCAGATTGCAACCTGTTTTCAGCGGGCTGACGTGTCGCCCTAGGTAACCCTGTGATTCATTCGTTCCATTAGCAGGTAGCTGACAGAGGCCCCGCGGGCAGGTTCATGCCCTCCATTAGCAGGTAGCTAACAGAGAGAATCCCCGCGGGCAGGTTCATGTCCTCCATTAGCAGGTAGCTAACAGAGAGAATCCCCGCGGGCAGGTTCATGTCCTCCATTAGCAGGTATCTGACAGAGGCCCCATGGGCAGGTTCATGCCCTCCATTAGCAGGTAGCTAGCAGAGAAAATCCCCGCGGGCAGGTTCATGCCCTCCATTGGCAGGTAGCTGACAGAGGCCCCGCGGGCAGGTTCATGTCCTCCTTTAGCAGGTAGCTGACAGACCCCGCGGGCAGGTTCATGCTCTCCATTAACAGGTAGCTGACAGAGGCCCCACGGGCAGGTTCATGCCCTCCATTGGCAGGTAGCTGACAGAGGCCCCGCGGGCAGGTTCATGCCCTCCATTGGCAGGTAGCTGACAGAGGCCCCGAGGGCAGGTTCATGCTCTCTAGTGGCCTCTGGTCAGTGTCAATGCATCTCAAGGAGACCTGGAGTCTTCTTCGCTGCTTGACCCTCCTGTTGCCATTTGATGCAATATTTAGGGTATTGCCCATTTTTTAAAAACATGTAAAAGTGGCCTTCATTTAAAGAAATCCATGTACAGTTTTTTTAAATAATGTATTTATACCCTTGCCCCCCCAGCCTTGATTACTATTCCATAATTTTTGGAGAGGCCCCCTCCACCTGTGAGCTGAACCCCTTTCCCATTGTCTGCTGCACACGGGAGGGGGAGGGGAAGCCCACGGGGGATGATTGCTTTGATTCTCAGCTTCTACTGGAGGGATTCAAATGCTTAGTCTGTGGGTGGGACCAGGAAGGTGACTCCCCTCCCCCGGGGTGTGTCTGACCAGCTGAAGTATGAAATCGTGGATTTGCTTAGGTGGGGGTAAAAAAAATAAAAAATTAAAAAACAGGAGGATCGGTCCTGTAGAGCTGTGTTTCTCAAACCAGTTCTAGAGCACACCCAGATATTCAACATTTTTTGCTTGCGGTAGGGAGCAAAAATGTGGACCGTCTAGGGGTCCCTGAGGGTTGGCAGGTTGGGAAACACTGTTGTAGAGGCTGTCAATAATTTCCAAGTATGAATATGAAATGAAGGGTTACTCTGTTAGCACATCTCTCCCATCTGGCCAAGCAGAAGGAAGGTATATGGGAGGTCATCCCAAGGTCATCAGCTGCATGGTGTACAAAATCCTGGTGCCTCTGCACACAATGCTTTCACAAGGCTGTTTAAGCTTTCAACGTATGATCTTACTAATGGTATCAGCTTTTGTAATCTCGACTGCGCTAGGGCCTCTTTCGATAGTTTGATTGAATTGTATATTAAAAAAGTGTTCTGTATGGACCTCTATCTACCCATCAGTTTTTGATGTTGAAACACTGTGATTATTAAATGTTGTTGGGCAACATTAGTTAAAAACAAAAAGCAAAGTGGAAGTTGGAGGGTTATTATTAATAGACTAAAGTAAGGCTAGCTATTTCATTATATTGTACTTATTTGAGACACTTTAACCTTTTTTCCTTCGTACTTTCTTTATATTAGATAAATGTGAATGTAAAAAAAATGGTTTCAATGTACTTGAATAACCTGTCTCTCCCTTCTCCCATTGCCCCAGTAAGCTTGCTGGAATTTTATAGTGCCTTGCATTTGTTTATTTGCTTTGGATTGAACATGGAGTAGTGAGCCCTGACGCTATGTGCTTTCATCAAGTGCTTAAGCGACCCTATGGATCGAGCTTGAGGATTAGGTACACACCAAGGGGGTGGCATTTATTTTTGGTGCCTTTTTATAAGTTGTTTTTCTTGACTTGGAGTTAATTGAACATTGAAATGCTGGAATGGATTGTATTGAATTGTACTGAAGTTTTGGCCGCTGCTTGTGCAGAGGGCGTGTGCCCCTATGCTCAGCACCTCACTGTATGTTTGGCGCGGGCGGCTAAAACATTCACAACTGTAATGTCTGTTGGGATTCTGACACCCCTTCTGTTAGCATTGGACGTCGAGCTCTAAAGTCTAAAACTGGCAGTTCTGACAATGAAGATGCGGTTCCTAAATGTAGCATTCCCATTTCTTAAGAGCAGGTTTCTGGTTTTTTTTTGTTAAAAAACTTGCAGTGATCATAACGATGCCGACCCCACCCCCCACAACAGCACAGAGAGCCTGGTGTTGAACAGAAAGAGATGCGAGTCCCATGAAGGTTGCTGAGGAAGTGAGAAGCGGCTTATGTGAATGTGTGTAGATACAGTGGTGCATTGCATAGCACTAAACATGATTTGGGGGCTGTTTGACCCCCACGGAGACATCTCCATCCACTCCCCTGGAGACTGCTTATACCCTTGAGCATAGAGGATGGAGGCACGGAACTGTGTGGTCTCCTGTACAGTGCTGTGACGGCAGTAGAAAAAGTACAGATTAGTTGTAGGATCAAAGGAGATGGATGTGGTAGGACCTTCAACACAAGGCTCAGGTGCAAAGTCTGTTCAATGTTCATTCCAGACCACAGGAGGCCCAGAGCTTACTCTGAGTGTGCTCTCAACTCCACCCCTATCTGCTCTCTCTTCACATTGAAACCGCTATGGATTGTAGATCATCATCTCCTCTCACAAAGTAGTCTGTCAATACTGCTAAACGCTTCTGTCGTTTCATTTCTGAGTCGTGTAGTTAAAGCGTTTTGGAGTTGAAATTGCTGCATCTTGTGTTATGGTTTTTCTGTCCCGGCAGGAGCGGGAGGTGGTCGTGGTGTCCTCGGACACTCTGCCCTTTGCCAGTCTCTGCGCCATCTCTCCCTCATGCTGAGGCATGCAAGTGCCAGCAGGGAAGAGACTAATCCTATTTGAGAACTCCTGTCCAGACGTAACCCTTTTTAAAGAGGTAGATGAGTTGTGGGCAGGAAGGAGGGCAGGCTTTCAAAAGCAACTGAGCCTTCTATTGGATGTTCCCAGGCCTGGCTGAGTGTGCTACCTTCCTGTCTTGTCTCCTAATTGCAGAGCAAAAGGTTCAGATCTGCACAGAAATCGAAAGAGCACAGTTACCATGCATTTTGTGGTTTTAACACTTGTCACCTTAACTACTGATAGCTTACAAAGACTGCTAAATGTAAAGCCTGTTCTTACTCCTTAGCCGTCCCAGTAACTTGTCAGGTACAGGAAAGTTTTTCACTTGAATCTTTATATAAACACAGATGCTCAGCAGTTGTCTTTGGATAGCAGTTGGTGTTCTGGATATTTATATAAGTAGCTTTTTTTTTCTTCTATAAAATATTTCATTGCCCATTTGAAAGATGGTTTTCTTCAGAATGAAATCTATTCAGTATTACGGTTTGTTGAAGCTGTGAAGAGGAAAGCATTTTTAAATACTTTTTTCCTCCTAAAAAACCACATTTAATGCTACCAATGCAGTGCCATTGCCCTGACAAAATGACTTAATTGAAATCTCTTGTTTACTACTTGATGACAGAGGCTACAGTGCATCATATGCAATGTTTGTTGGTGGTACAGTGGTAAAACACCACTTTTTTTTGTTACTTACAGAGGAGGCAACTTGCTGAATTAGTGTATATTATTGTCTGAATGCAGATACATGTTTTTAATCCAATTGCCTTTCTGTAAGGAATGCTCAGCAAAAGTGCCGATATGTAGAGATCCTATTCAGTACAGTAACACAAACACCAGGTTTCAATCAAAATGGGTTCATTCATCTTAAACTGCATGTGCTTGTTCCTCACTGGTTATAGTCTCACCTGGATCTTAAATAAATGACACTTTTTTGCCATTTGCCCTCCTGTGGAAAAAAAAATACAGAACAATACTGTTACTTAGTGCTACTGACCTGTCATTAAGTTATTTTGTACTACTATATGATTTGTTACTCTGTGTCTCTAGGTCCTCTAGTGACTAAGTAAATGGTTTCCATATGCTATTTAACATTGTACAAAATCTTCAATAAAATTTTCAAAAGTACCAAAAACCTACAAAATTGTTGGCTTTATCTGTTTGCACCAAGTACAGGGTGTTCAAGCTTCATATAACAAGTGCGTCGTGCTCCAAAAAGCAGGGCTGTGGAGTCGGTAGATAAATGCTCCGACTCCGACTCCTCAGTTT